AAATTTGTTTTTGGGAAACATTTGCAGTGACTCAAACAGCCCTGCTCCCATGCCACTGTTATAACTGTTGTGATGTTTGTCTCAGGCGCTTGCAGGATCAGATGTCGGGGCGCTGTCCTTCGGCTCTCCGATCAACGCCTCGGCTCTCCTCATCATCCTGCTGCACCAAGTTATCGAGAGTCGCACTCTGGTCAGACACTGAAAGCTGTTAGAAATCACTTCCTTTCTAACTGGATTTGCCTCCATTGTTTTGCCATGGGAGTAATTAATTACCATGTGACCTGGATGTTATGTATCTAAGGATACCAAAAGACTGTGCAGTCTCTAACCCTCTGTGTTATTTTGCAGACGTGGATTCACATGCTGGTGCTGGTCCTCAGTGGTGGGTCTTACTTCGGCTTTGTGCTGCTCTTCAGTTTGTTCTGTGTATCCTGCAGCCCCCCCACCAACCCTTTGGGGGTGGAGACGCTGCAGATGTCCCAGCCTCTCTTCTACATCGTGTGCGCTCTCACTACTGTGATGGCTCTGTTGCCCAGGTACACACACCTCCACCCTCATGTACACTGTGGTAAATTTACACACAAAACCTATACAACCAGTGGTGCAGGGGTGCCTGGAGAAGTAGACTCTTAATTTATGGCCCAACTTTTTTTAAAGAGGCCCGTCCAGTGATACTCATATTTATTCATCCAAAAATGTAGTGTTTGCACATTGTCACAGCAGTAATGATCATTATGAAATCAACATTAGCTACAGAAGAGGTGCAGATTTTACAATCAGTGCTAGCCCACAGATGGGTGAGACAGCTGCATCTTTAATGCATTTTCAGTGAAGTTTTCCGTATTCCTGACTTCATCCACGCATGGAAACTGTACAACTATGTCATGCCTTCGCCTTCCTAGGAAAAAAAGAAAAAAACCACCAATATTGATTGAAATATAATCCATATACCTGCGTATACCCTACATTACACCACGGAATACAACCACGTGCTTATATATAAACACACTCAAGTCTTTGTCTATGAAATGAAGCTGCAGCATATTTGTATTTCTGGGTAGTGTATGTTAGCAAATCATCTCAGCCTTGATCCAAGATGGGACAATAATGTTCATCTAGGCAGCAAAGTAGGTTTCTCACACATCATCAGTGTTATTGATCATCAGGTGTACAGAGAGGAAGAGTAGCACTTATGGCTCATAAGAAAATGCATAATAATACATGATAATAGAAAACACACAAGTCAATGTGTATCCTTTGCTGCATTCAGTGTCCCAAAGTCCAATGTGTGCTGTTCACTCTGCGTACGAGTGCTCCTCATTAACTGGTAAAGTCACACAGTCAGAGCCAGCTGGCAGCACAGGAAACACAAACAGATGCTAAGAGCAGTAGGGTACTGTAGAGACATACAACAGCCAGGGAAATAATTACACACAAACAAAAAAATCAAATGTGAAAAGTAAAGCAAGAAAAAAATAGTCCAGTGATATATTTAGATTGCATATGCAGAAGTACCCCTCATACTGTCAGATTAGCTCCTATCTCAAACACAAAGGCTTTAGTTTGGCACGTTTGGCACTCTTAGACCTCACCAAAATCACAGAGAAGCTTTATGCTGAGTTTTGCCTAATCCACATATTGATATTTTAATGTAGGACCAACCTTGCCATTGACATGCTTCGTTGTAAAATGTATTTAAGTTCTTTGTTCTCAGTCAGTTAAATACCTGCAGTCGCTGTTCATCCGCAGTCTTTCATTTTACTGTGATTTCTTGTAAAAAGGTTATTTCCTTCCTTCTCTCACTCTCACTGCCCTGTGTGCTGTCCTCTGCAGGCTTTTGTGTCGAGCTCTGTACAACACGTTGCACCCCGCTGCTGTTCTGAAATCAGCTCATATGGACAAAGTGGATTCAGAGAAGTACTGCAGGAGAATGCAGCGCTGGAACCAGAGTCACTCCAGAGTCAACAGGCTGCCGGTGTGCGCCGACAACCCTGGCCTGGAGCCCAGCACGTCCTCAGTGGTGTCCTGACCCCCCTCTACGCACACACAGGTGTATGACCTATTCAGGGAAAGACCCGAAAAGTCTGTTGACATGCTGGATTCAATCGCATGTCGCTGTGTGGATGTTCCACTCACCAGCTATTTATAGGCTCTGCTGAAAGACAGCTCATTTGGCTACAAGTCAGTAGCCAAAGGACTCTTGGTGAGATTAATTTGCTCCAAAGAAAACCATGTTTAATTGGACATGTACTTACTGAATGAATAGTGCTGTGAGTATGAGTTGAAACATTCCACCAAGCATTTTTGGGAACAGGAGCTGTGAAACATGATCTTGTAGAATATTTGGAGACAATACTATTTTTAAAGGACCTATACAGTGTGTATCATTTGAACATCAGGAAATCATCAATCATCTGGCATTCGTCAGGATCAGCCTACTAGTACTGGCCTTCACTGTGTGCTGCAGTCGGTACGGTGAGCCACTACATTCGCACTGCAGCTGAAAGTGACCAAATCCAATATTATTTCTAATATTCCGTCTTAATATTTTTGATCAGCTCCGCGCTGTGTGCACATAGAGGTGTTCATTGGGAGGACAGTGAAGTGTCAGACCTCACTAAAAGCCAATATTCAAATCTTGGCTTACTTTTGCCTCTTCACTCTTTTCAGACTTTATACTGTCCTGTTCATGCTTGGAATTAGTCCAATTTCACTGGTTTACTGTGAGATGTATATGTGTGTCACAGTTGTATTGTGTTATTCTTTGGGTCATGAACAACTAAGACAAAAAACCTGAAATCAGAATTTAACATTAAAGCTGGAACAAGAGATTTATGACCACAAGGGGGCAGACATACTTGAAACAAACTGACAGAAGCACAGCAAAGATATCCTGCTGGTTGACATATTAACAAACTATTTCTTTACACAGCAGGGAAGAACATTAGCATACCATCAGGGTTGTGCTTGTGTCTACCTGAGTCTAATATTCACTCCACTGTTAGCTCCTGTTTGGGCTCTGCAACAAAATCTGTCTTTTTAGCTGCTACTGTAGATATATGACTTGTTCACGTGAGCTCTTTGCTTTTTGGTATGGCTAAAGAGAGCTGTGTGAGTCAAACATACAGTCTACTTGCTGGAGAACCAAAAAAAGAGACACAAATATGTTAAAATCTGAGCTTGAAGGTTCATTCTTGTTCTTTGAAACAGCAGCTTGACAAAAAAAATGAATCAGAGCAACGTCCACTCAGAGGACTTGTTGTTTCCAAAGGTTTCAACCACAGCTTTTGACCTTCCTCAGTGGATGGAGTTGCTCAGTTGTCGTGGAGATGATTGACCCTTGAAACAGGGGTTACTATCTACTATGCACTGTTAATATTAGAGACACATCAATCCACTTTTGTTCAGTTCCGATCCGATTCTGATCCCTGCATTTGGAGATCTGCTGATATCGACAGGGAGACCACAGCTCTTGATGCATTATCAACTGCTAGATTTCAAAAAGTAATAAGAGAATTTCAGTGGAATTGCAAATTGACAACATAGGTTTATAAAGTGAATTTCAAAATAAACATGGAAGAATTGTGTAGAGATATATATATATATATATATCTACACTAATAAAAAACCCTATCAAAAAGAGACTATGGAATCTGGATCGGTGGCCTCAGTCCGATATGTGAATTACAATGTCGTCCCCTGATACCTATACCAGATCAGATCGGTCCCAACTCTAGATAATGTGTTGTTTAAGTCAGTTGACAGAAAGCTGCAGTATGGATGTAACCAAAGAGAATTCTTGGTGACACAAAGCAGGAAGAGGGTACTGAAGGCCTTCAACCACTATATAAAGGAGGCAGGATCAGGAAGCAACAATCAGATTATTATTTCAATACAGCCATAACAGTACCAGTACCACTGTTGTGTGTGTGATCCAGATGTCTGGATCATGGTCTCATTGGTTCCTGTTAACTACACTAAGCTGACACTGCTTAATGTTGAGAACACGCACAGGAATGCTTACAATTGTTGGAATGTGTTTACAGTCCTGGGTTAGACAGATGGAATTTCACAGAGTTGTAACAATGAGCCGCAGCCTGTTTTTGTTTACCTGCTCAGCTGCTCTGTGTGCAGTGCTGACACCGGAGCAGACCAGGTCAGTTGGGGTAAATGAAGGATTAATAATTGCTGAGTCAATTTTGGACTGGATCTCATGTCGCTGTAATCAACAAAGGCTGCAGTTTACACCTATACATTAAGGATGTGACAGTACTACACCATGAATGGAAGACGCTGAGGCTGAGCTGGTTCTCAGGTTTTCCTAGGCTGAGCTGCACTAACAAGGGTTAACAGGGATCAGACTGAATCTGGGTTTAAAGGTGATTTTGTCCCCAGTAGTCCCTATTATTATTTTAAGTCATCATTGAACCAAATACAATTGAAATTTGGTTTATTCTCATCTATATTAAATTAGATTATACAATTTGACAAGGTTGAAACATATGCACCAAATATCCTGTGATCATTCTGTTTACACTTTACACCTCCATAAGTACAAGTCGTGTTTACTTTACATTTTGCAGACTATTTTCAAATGCATATTGGAGGTATTGTTGCTGTCATTCTATGGCGTCGTTGAGTTCCACTCCTTTCTGACGACGTAAGTCAATTAGCAGACTCTTTAAACGGGCTTGGGTCGTGCAGTGAGGATAAATCCTGCATTAGTTAGAGACTGCTTTGACTATTCTGCACTGAATTACCTCATGTGCAAAATATTGTATGAAAATAAGCGGTAACTTAAGGATGTCTGGAATTATAGAAAATTACTTCCACGTCTCTGCAACTCTACGACATGGTTTCAAAATGGTGTAAAGTGTACGCAGACTAACACATGCAAAAAACAACAAAACAGGGCTCCGCTTGCATGCAGTGAGTGAACCAGCAATAATCATGACGCATTTATGGTGAAACCGTTCCAAACTAAGATTAATATATTATTAAAAATAAAATATAATAATTTACTATACAATTATTTATTAACTACACAGGGAACTATTTAACCATTTAGAGGCACGTAGACGTCAACTCATTTTCCAGCATGTAGAGAACCCTAGAGCGGTTGCACACTGGGTCCTGCGATTGCACCATTACATATGATTATAATAATTCTGTTAATAGACAGCGTGACGTGATTGATTGATTTATTTAATTAAAACTACATCTAACAAAAAAATGTTGGGTCGTTTGAATTCGTCCTTGTGGGAGCAGCCCAGCTGAGGAATCTTCCAGTGAATGCATTGTGTGATAGAAAACCTGAGCACACCAGTCCGACCCGTCAAGATTTTATCGAAGCAGACAGCAGCAGTAGTTCTCAGTGAAGTGACCTTACTGCCTCTGCGCACATCTGTGCAGTGAACCAGGTGATAACAGGAAGAAGCCTTAACTTTAATGCAATACTTTCAGATGTGGACCTTTCCACACAGAGAAGCCTTGAAGTCAGCAGCACTCACTGATTTTTATATTGTGTAATAATTGTGTTGTTTGTTTGGATGTATGATGCAAACCTTTGACTGTACTGTTTCAGACATTGTAATAAACAGATTCACATCAGTGTAGTCATGTATGCTGAAATGACTGTGTGACTGTTAGATTGGTGGTGATGAAGCGCAGTTCTGGAAAACCACATCAGAATTACAGGAAAATAGAGTTTCTGTATGAAAGCAGCATGGAGCCAACATTATTAGAAAGATTCACAACCTGAAACCAGCGCGTCCTGCCCACTAGCTGCTTCACAGACGGTTTTTGGCATGGAACGCTGCATTATTCCAACCAGTGACAAGAGATTATTAGATAAAATATCCAACCACTTCTTCTTTTTTTCTATCTACTTCTGCTTGAGGTTAATTCAGACATTGCCCAACAGTTATAGTTTGTATTTTTCATTTGTTTTTATTTTTATTTTGCTTTCATTTATTTTTTTGTCAGTTCATTTTAGTTTCCAGAGTGGGTTTGCTCATACCAGTTTAGCTTTTATTCGTTTCAGTGTATTTATGTATTTGTCAGAATAGGTATAACAATACATATTGACTCACAGTCTCAATAAACATGACCAACGCCTCCTTGTGCATGTTTTGACAAATTTGACCAAATTGACAAAAACTAAATACATTTCATGGATATTTGTATTTATTTACTGTTAGATTTTTAAGTGCCCACTATTGTGTCAGTTTTTGTTGTTCTAAAGTCTAGTATTTATGTTAGTTTCACTTGTTACAAATGTTTTTTTTACACGTAGTTTAAGTTTTTAGTTTAGTTTGAGTTAATTAAAATAACCTTGGTGTCCAGGACTGTTCATTGATTGACTGATTGATCTGTTTTTGTTCAGGCCTGGTGGATTCTTGCTAATACCATTAGGAGCACTAGGAGGAACAAGATGATCCTGATTGTTTCTTAGATGATCTGTCTCATGTTCTACTGTCAGGATATAGTGAAAGTTTCAGTGAATATGACAAAAGTTTTTTTTTTATAAAAGTTACCTGCTGCAGCTTTAATAAGTCAGGTGACTCTTCTTCTACCTCTGGAATTTTTTTTATAATGTACATTCAGACCTGTCAGTATACAAAAGGAAAGCCCACCAGAATTTGCACACACACACACACACACACACACACGCACATTAATCCACCCTCAGCAAAGCGTTATTTCCTCTTTAGGCGTGTCTGACAGGCACAGAGCTTTCACTTCTGCTTGGCTGCTGCACCTTTCCCTTGAACTCCGAGGTTGGATGTTGGGGACTGAATCCTCCTGGAGAGATGAGTTTCTACAGCGATGCGTCCACTGAAGACATGAGCGACGAGCTGGAGACACTGGGGTAAGAGGAGACCTTCCACCTGCTGTAGAAAACCGCGAGAGGCGAACGAGTCCCGGGCTCTATTGACGCACTGTACCAGACTCCGTGCATAAATCATGCAATTTAAACAATTCCTACTTATTCACAAACATATGCGCTTTTTAGAACGTGTTGGGAGTAGTTACTAAACTGTAGTCTGTCATGGTGATACCGGCATTATAATTATCTGGTAGTAACACTGTCATAACTTCTTATCACTTCTCAGCCTTTTCCACTGCTGCTTTGCACAGTAGATTTTGATAGAATAATTACATAAACATAGTTTTACATATATACAAATATCATTTGCTCTAAGGAATTATCAAGAAATGGTTTAAACTTGTATTAAAGAGTATCTTTTGTCTCACAACACAGGCAGCATTAAGTTCCCTGTCAGAAATAATGTTAAGCTGCTTCACTGTGCAGCTGTTCCACTTCTAAAATCTGATTTGCAAATAAATAATCCTGAAGGAAACAAATTCATCTTACAAATCCACTATTACAGTCAAATGTAACTCAGTACAATAGCTCATGAATATGAAGCTTTATATGTTGAGTTTTTGTTGAGGTATGTTTAATATTCTGTAACTAACTACAGCTACATCAATGGTACATATATCTGAATGAACACCGCTGTGACACTGCAAAGTGTAGACTTACAGAATATCTGTTATTGATTTGTCTGATTTGATAATAGCTTGATAAAGAATATTCCAGGACTTAATGTAGGCCCAACCCAGAGACAGCCCTGTGTTCACCACTGGTTGGCTTGGGGGAAGCACGCAGTCGGCCCACCAGAAAAACATCTTCAACCTCTGGGATGCCCCTATGGTAAATGAAACATAATAAAGTGCCCTCTACAGTTGCCCAATGTGCAAGACAATGTTATGTTGGGTCACCAAAGCTTTACAGGGGGTGGCGAGGCTTTCTTGGGGGTATTTTTAAGTATTTATTTATATTATTATTCAAGATCTAAACTTTGAAGACAGCCTCGTCCTGCATTAGAAAGAACGCA